GCTATCTTTCAATAGCGCAGCTTGTTTTCAGGTGTGTTCTCAACGAGGTGAAGAGCGTAAGAACTGAGGAATGACAGTGACGCATAAGTGGAGGGCGGGACCTCCACGCAGCGTCACTTTCATTTGCCTTACAGGCATGATTAAATGTGTCTTCAGCCAGGCCACACGAGGGTGTGATGTCCAATAGTACCTTCGTTGTACTGAGTGAATCGACTGAAAGGGAACTCAATAATGCTTTATGTAGATGATTTTGAAATTGCAAACCCACTCGGTACTTCAAAGAAAATACTTAAAGTTTTTGCAGTTTATTGGACACTGGCAAACTTTCCAGTTAAATCCCATTCTGCTCTCCACTGCACTCAGCTTGCGCTCCTGTGCAACTCTAATGATGTGCGCCTGTTTGGGTTTAAGAAAATGATGTCACCACTCATAAATGATCTGAAAACTCTTGAATAAGTTGGCATTGATACCCTTGGTGAATGTCTTAAAGGCACTGTCTACTGTGTTGTGGCAGATAACCTTGCCGCACATGGGCTTGCTGGGTTCAATGAGAGCTTCAGGTCTACACATTTCTGCAGGTTTAGCCATGCCACACAAACAGAAATGCAGACAAAAAAAATGCAGTTACAGGGGATTACGTGCTGAGAACAAAAGATCTTCATGACAATCTTGCACGAGAGCTTGAGCGATGGCAGTGAGGGAAACTGTGGTGTCAAAAACACTTGTGTTCTTTCTGACCATCTGTCGTTCTTCCATCCTGCCACAGGCTTCCCACCTGACCTCCTGCATGACCTGTTTGAAGGCATTGTTCCAGTGACGATAGCACATTGCTTAAAAGGTTTGATTTCCAGTAAATATTTTACCTTAGAAGACTTAAACCGAGCAATATTGCACTTTCCATACCAACATTCTGACAAAGTTGATCGCCCTCATCCAATACCCACTAATTTTGCCCGTCGAGGAACCATTGGTGGGAAGGCTCATGAAAATAATGCCCTGCTTATAATGTTGCCTCCTCTCATTGGCTCAAAAATCCCAGAAAGAGACACATTTTGGGAAGTGTTAATGGAGTTAAAGAATGTCATTCATCTTGTCATGTCTCCGATTTTTAATGAAGAGACCATTCAGTACTTGGCTTCAGTACTGGACCACTGGCAACTCTTCCAAGAAGTGTTTCAGAATGTTCGATTCAGGCCAAAGCATCATTACATCGAGCATTACCCGCACTTGATAAAGTGCTTTGGTCCCTTGGACCATCTTTGGACAATGAGATTTGAGGGAAAGCATAAGGTTTTCAAAAAAATTATTCATGACACACAACTACAAAAATGTGTTAAAAATGCTGGCAGAGCGACATCAAAGTCAGATGCCATTTTATTTGCCATCCTCAAAGTTTGTCAAACCGCATGTGCAGACATCCAAAATGGAGTCCATGTACATCAGGCTGACCATACGTCCTCTTTTCCCCAGACATATCCACTTTTCACTCCCTGTCCAGGGCGTCCAGGGGAGTTTCTTGTATTGATGAAAATGTCCGGTTTTTCATCCAGGAGCAGGGATCAAATTATGGGGGAGATGTATATCCTACACATCCAGGGAGAGCCGTAAAAAACATTTCTACTTATTATTACATCATTTATGGACTCAGTGTACTGGGGGTTCTTTTGAGCAGAGAGCGGCAGAGTGCTGATCGTTGGTGCGCAGCGCTCCAGGCTGCTGAGTCCAGCGCACGGTCCATTCTCAAAGTGGCGCAACCAAAAAACTATAACTGGTATGCCAGTCTTACTGTTCTTATTACTTATGTTTTGCTTTTGGAATAGTTCACAGCAGCTCCGTTCTGAAAACCTTGGTGGTGCACAGTGTGCGAGCGGGGAGGTGACACTTCAGTTGTGCCCTGGAAGACGGATCTAAAGGATGGATCATGAGAGGGATCGGTCTTCAGTGGGTGAGAGGAACCCACTTGGTATGGCACGTCTGACTGGGACACTACTCCAGCGGCCAGGTGGTAGCTCCGTTGGTCCCCCTCCCCCCTTCTGTTTTCACAGATGGAACACTCCTGCTGTGGAAACCTGCCTAATGACTCTGGAACAAGGAGGTCAGAATTTGTTATCTTCTCACTGTGGACTTATTCTTTGTGTTAAAGACTTTGATGGAATCCTGTCTGGGAGAACTGAGCGAGCAGACAGTGAATCACCATCAACGAGAGTTCGGCTGGACCCTGCGTGATCAGTGGATGTGGGACTTTTGGCATGGTCGAGTCTGCACCATCAACCCAGCACCAATTGTCACCTTTCCGCTGAATGTTGTTCCACCAAGGAAATTTCAGAAGCAGGGGTTACTTCAGATGGCACCGTATGTAGGGGGATATGTGATGTAGTATAATTAAGTGTGTAAACCTTAATTATCCTTTTTAGAGTGGAAGTGTTATGGCTCAGGGCCATTTGGAGAGAGAGAGATCAGTGGATCCTGAGGAAGGTGGAATAGGTAGGGAGAGCAGAACAAGAAGAGGGTGATGAAGGTCACTCAAAAGCGAGCCTGAACAAGTGAGTTTTCAGCTGCCATAAACATCTCAGTTTATGGCACAAGCTTTGCAATTAGCATGTTTGTATGTACTGGTGCTTATGCAGCCTTGCCAGAGTTCAAAGAGATTCTAAACATTCTGCTCATCGGTGACAAAATGTTTTTTCTCTTTAAAGACTACAACACTTTGTATGTTGAGCACTTGAGGTCATACGAACTAGTCGAGCATCAACCAAAGGATCAGTGTCAAATCTGTGTGCCAGCTGTCTGACCACCTGCCGCATTTTGCTTATAGGATAGCAAATGAACTCCTAACAACAAAACATTTTATTCCAGTGTCTGACTAAAGAAACAAAACTGAAATATCAGTGGATCCCCCCAGCCCTTCTGACAGTGAACAGGTAATACATTCATGACATGACAACTCTGAGTGTGTTGAAATGTCGCTATATTATTTGAATCCTGTATGTTACAGGACCTACAACTTCAGATGGAGGCAACAGAGCGACTGAAGCTAAGGGTCATCCTTGATAATGACAGTGCTGAAAGACTTATTCTGCCATCTCGCCCAAGCAGTGTACAGGCCCTCATAGATGAAATCAAAACTAGGCTAAAGTTGACTTTTGACTTCAGGCTTCAGTTTGAAGATCCAGATTTTGCATTGTGTAATTTGGTTGAAATGGAACACCTCCCAAGCACAGCATCGGTTAAAGTAATCAGATTAGTGGAGCTGGACTTTATTTCAACCAGCACTAGTGAGACAAGTCTTCTAAACGATGGCAATCAATCAATCAATCAATCAAAGCTTTATTTATAAAGCGCCTTCCGCAACTCTGTCAGGAAGCCCAAAGCGCTGAACATGGTACAGTTGTAAGTAAATATCTTGAAAAAATCAACAATAAAAGAAATTCAAATTACAAAATACAAATTACAAAATGCAAATTAAAAATACAAAATGGAAATTATAAGATAGATGAAACATTCTGGTAAAGGACAAATGTGTGAAACACATTTGGATTGAGTGGATGGATTGAGTGTCCCAATGAAAACTGTGGAATGGATTCAACATAAAAGAGGGCCAAAATCAAACATGTTCTGGAAACGCCAAGTGGAGGAGGTGTGTTTTTAGGTGATTCTTAAAGACTGGCAGAGAAGGGGACAGCCTAACTGAGGGTGGCAACTGGTTCCAGAGTAACGGTGCTAGGACTGAGAAAGCCCGGTCCCCACGGGTACGACACCTAGACCGAGGGACAGCGAGCAGGCCTTGTTCAGAGGAGCGCAGAGCTCGTGATGGGGAGTGTCTTTTCAAGAGTGTGGCCAGATAGGGGGGAACACCACCCTGGAAGAAATGATAAACAAAGACGAGTATTTTAAATTGTGAGCGATAGGAAATCGGAAGCCAGTGCAGGGAGGCCAGAACTGGACTGATGTGGTCCCGTTTCCTGGTCCCAGTCAGGAACCTGGCAGCGCTATTCTGCACAACCTGTAGGCGACGCAGTGTTGACTGACACAACCCTGCGTAGAGAGAGTTGCAGTAGTCAAGCCGAGAAATTACAAAGGCATGCAGTACCCGCTCCAGGTGGGCTCTCGACAGCATATGCTTGATTTTAGCAAGGCGTCTCAGGTGAAAGAAACTGGACCGGATCACAGAATTGATGTGAGCATCAAATTTAAGTCCTTCATCAAGTTTCACCCCCAAACTGGTAACAACTGGTTTTGAGTATGAAGAAAGAGGGTCAAGATCAGCATAACGATCCACATTCCTGCTGTTGGGGTGAAAAACAATGAGCTCTGTCTTTCCCTCATTCAGATGTAGATAGTTGGCCATTAGCCAAGACTTCACTTCGTTAACACAGGACACAAAGGACTGATCTATTGCATTCTTACAATATTCAGGAACAGTTATCATTGTTCCTCTATGATATATTTGTATTTAGTATAGGTTTATGTCAGTAAGTTTCAAAGTTAAATAATAACTGATGATCAGATTGGCATTTGTAGTCATTATGTTTTATTGTCAGATGAGATCTTTCCATTTTGCCATTGAGGTTTGGTCAAAGCAGTTGAGGAGACAGTAATCTTTAAGCAAACTGTTGTATAATAACAGCGTTGACATTTAATGTTGTATTTACAGTATGTGTTAATGGTTGATGACATCCTTGCAGTTAAGCTTTGTTTGCATTTTTCTTAGGTGCATGTCAATAAATCTGGATATTTAAAGAAAATTACATCTCAATAGTCAGCAGTAGCATTTTGTCATATAGTGTGCCTGCCGTCGCTCTGGAAGGTGTACAATAGTATGATACAGGTCCTTTAAATGGGACAACTTGCACAATCAGTGGCTTAGTGCTAAACACTTTGTTGATTACTTTTATATTTTAGAACCTTGTACAGATCTGATTGAGTTTTTTTAACAAGTTTATATTTTTCAATAAGTTTATATTTAGTAGAAATTATTGATCAAAGGAAGTCAATCCTACCAGGAGCACACCAAAGTACGTGAGATGGTCACAGGAACAGGTGACGTAATCCTGACCAGGTTCCCACACGGTCAGACAGCCATCAGTCTTAAATGCTGAATCAGGAATAAAACAGATGGTCCTGTTATATTTATCATTATTTCTTCTCAACAGGACAAAACCAGCTCACTGCTGACTGACTACAAGATAACATTGAAGCAGATCTGTACTGAAGTTTATAGACAACACTCTTTTTATTTCTACTTCTGACAAAAAAGTTAAAGAATCTGGTGCAAAAGTCCATTTATGTCAGTAATCCATCTTAGACTGAGAGACCATCTCAGGCTCAGGAACCCTCTGCAGGTGTTCTAGATTAATTAGCTGATTAGAGTGTGACACTTTGAGTCTAGAATATTGAACCTTTTCGCAATAATCTAGTAGTCTGAGGTTTTGAATGTGGGGTTTTCATCGGCTGTAATCATGATCATCACAAGTATAACAAATAAACGCTGACATATCTGGTTTTGCATGGAATAAATCTATCGCATATACTAGTTCCACCTTTTAAGTTGAATTACTCTCATTAATGAACGTATGCACCATATTCTAATGTACCCACTTTCACTTGTAATGTTTTACTTACCTTGGACTGTTGTATTCAAGAAAACACACTGGGGTTTCTGCGTCATCTATGAAACAGCAATTGTGGTTAACGAAAGGTAAGTATAAACTACAAATAAACAGTTTGGAAACATTATTTAACTGTCATTTATCCATTCTAACACTAACTGATGTTTTGCTTCATATGTCTTCACACATGTGTGGGTAGCATCAGCAGCATGTACCAAACACCCTGCAACATCCTCTTGTTGGTATTCACTCTTGGTCTGAGTTTATTGGTGGATCAGAAGTTTGAACTTTCCAACAATCAGGGGAAAAACAATTATTGGTCATTTTTTAAACTCATTTGACACTGTCAGTAGCCACAGTAGCGTGTGGAAGATCCGTACCACATCTATTCCTCGACCAGCAGTTGGAAGTTAACCAGCATGATGGTACAGCTGGATCACGCTGTCCAAGAGCTGTCAGTAAAGAGCCAGTCAGCTACCAGACACCTGAGCCTGGAGCACACCTGGCAGTTCTCACAGCTTAGCACAAAGGAGAATATAAACAGGAGTATGTTTCTGGGTAATTTGTAGGTTTTATGAGCACTACACACATTCAGCTGTGTTGCTCATTCCATGGATTCACAATTCTTACAGGTTCAGTGTCTTGGGAAATGTGGCCAATCAGGCTTCCCTACAGTATGAAATACACCACCACTATTGGTGGCTCACTGCCTGTGTCGTGAAGCGCCTTAGGGGTTGTAGAAACCTAATTCAATTCAGTTTATTAATTTAGCTTCAAATCACAAGAGTCGTCTCAAGGACCTTCACACAGTAAACATTCCAATACAGGTCAGTTCATTAAGCCAATCAGAAAAAATGTTTCCTATATAAGGAACCCAGCAGGTTGCATCGAGTCACTGACTAGTATCAGAGTCTTTACAGCAATCCTCATACCAAGCAAGCATGCAGCGACAGTGGAGAGGAAAACTCCCTTTTAACAGGAAGAAACCTCCAGAGGATCCTGTCTCAGTATGACTCACTGGGGATGGAGAAGACAGAGCAGACACACACACACACACACACACACACACACACACACACACCTAAGAAGGCGCTATACAAATCCAGGCCATTTACTATTCATAAGATGAAAAATTACAATTACATTTAGGCTTGTGGCAGTACTTAAGGTGATGTTGACTCGTTCCTGAAGTCCTGAGATTTCTTTGCCAGTCACACTCAGACCAATTAGCCTGGAACTATACAGTTCACCTGAGTCTGCTAACGAAAACTGCAGCAAGCAGAAAAACACAATCAATTAGTCTGGGGAGATGTTTCAGTCACTGGGAAAATGTGTATAGTATCTTAAAGTACACTTGTAAAAGTATAAATGCAAAGAAACACACAATCCTATACAGCCAAGTTTATTATGAAGGTGAAGTTATTATAAATAGTTTTACAGCTGATATAACATTACTCCATCATTATATTGTGTATAGTTTAGGATCTCTTTTTTTCCTGCAGCAGCTGCAGAAAACAAACCTGGACCTCATGTATCAACCGTACGTACGCACAGATCTGTGTGCATATCGTGTGTAGGAACTAATTTACACATTGTGTGGTATTCATCATTTTGTACCTGTGCGTGAAAATGTTCTTAAATCCAAGAAAACTTCAAAGCGTGTGTAGGACCAGCATTTAGTGGTAGAACGGGGAAATCTCAACACAGAAGGTCTCACTCATCCACTAATTATTTTACCCAATAAATAAGTATTTCAGTGGAGAAAGAGCAGAGTCACATAGCTGGTGCTAAAACACCCGACGGGAGTCTGACATTGTAGAATGGTTGTCATGTTTTTGTAATCAAATTTTTTTAGCTTCCCTTTTTATTATGTTCTTAATAATTTTTATTAATTAATATAAATTTTCATTTAATTTTATCACATTATATTTTTATCCTTGTGAAACACTTCGTGATTTAGCTTGAGATGCATTAGATAAAAGATATTTTTTTCTTATCTTATTATTATTATTATTATTATTACTATTGGGCAGCAGTAGCTCAACAGGTTGAGCGGTGTTAGGTATTTTTATTAAATGTTGGTCTGAGAATCTTTCTTTGTGTGGGGTGACGAGCTCATGTGAACTTTGTAATGCCTTAGGCCATGAATCTCTGGAATGTGGTAACCCAGGAGATGGGTTTCTGTACCTCTCTAACCTGAGAAGGCCCGCCTTCTCTGTCCTTTGCTGAATAAAGCCACTGGAAACTCTGAAGACAGGGGGGGTCGCCTGGCATCTAGCTCTGGAGAGGGTTATGTGTCATGGGTGCTCTCCCCTCATTTGGCTAATTCAGTGTAAAATGTCTCCCTTTCGTGATGTGTGTTTATTTCAGGTTCAAGGGTCATGGATACGTAAAATTAATTACCCAACATTTTGGTGGAGAATGCGGGCATGCAGAGCTGATGAGCTGAGGGCTTTGGAGCAGAGTGGGGGAGGTTTCCGGTTGGCTCCATGGAAGGGTTTTCAGCGCCCAGCTCTCGGATGATGATTCGGGGTAATGGAAATTACGAATGATCAATCTACTCTCTCTCTCTCTGTGTCGTTCTTTAAGGTAATATGGGAAAAATTAGCTATCATTTGGTGGCTGTACGGGGAAGGCAGAGCAGTCAGTGGGAAGCTGTCTTCGGGGAGCCGTGCAGGCGCCACTTACCTCATCAAAGCCTGGGGAACTAAAATTGTTTCACCGGCCAGATTTTTAGCCTTGCAGGCAGATTCCCATTCAAGCTCTCGCCTTCCCGAACTCAGAACGAATGTACCACGCAGAGGAGAGTAAGTACTTCATTAATTTGCACCTTTTTCTTAACCGCTGGCAGTGTGGTTTAAGTTGATTGTGGTGACTGACATTCACGCACGAAAAGACGTTTTCGTGTCCAGCTAGGGGTTGCACATGTGAACCAAAGAGGTTGCACTGAATACGTGAGCCGTGGCTGTAGTCCTGGTCTTGAAAGAAGGAGGTTGTAATTTATTCTGTGTTTGCATGCACAGGCGTCCCGCAGAGCTGTGGGTGGTAATTGCAGGTGAATGTTCAGATGCACCTAAAACCGTTGCTAAACCAGCGCTGCATTAAAGCGGCCAATCGCAGTTTGGCATAGGCACATACTCCTTTTGCAGCTGCCGACAGGAAGGATTGGACAGATTCTGTTTAACTCTGTCTGCATGGAAGTACATTGGGATGTTCTCGCAGTGAGTCCTGGCCCCGCGCATCGCCAACACGTCCTGGGTTTATTGAACGTGTATGTGAAATGTATACTGGTTTGGAGAGATGATGGCAACCTTCATGCGGCACTGCAATGCGAAGTGATGTGTAGCCACGTTAAAGCGGATAGCAATATATACACGCAGCACAGAGTCTATGTGCTGGTGTCGAGTGGAGAGGCTTGTTGCTAAAATCACACTGCCGCAGGGAATTGTTTAAATATTTTATGGTGCGTACACTAAAATTAATCCTAAGTTGGTCTAAATTCGGCCTTGCTGTGTGTTATTCGTAATTTGTTGTGCATCTGGTATCGGGCTGCGTCCCATTTCTGATCGGGCTGGCTATTTCTTGGTGTGCAGAACTTTGTGGTTCTGGATTAGTTGCTGAAATATTGATGTCAGCAGTTGTTTTGTGAGTATATGCGTTGTGTTGTGGTCTTAAAAATTGTGCCGGAGCGCTAAAAACCACGGCTGGGAACATTGGTTCGGCTGCCATCTTGCTGCATTCGAGTGTGAGTGTGTATGTTGATTGCGGTGGGCCAGCTGTAGCCGCGTGTGCTTGTGAGCCACAAGCTCTTGAGTGTGAGAGAAAGTTCGGTTGATGAAAGGAAAAAGACGTGTGAGATTGTTTGGCTAAAGTTTGGAGGTTTTGAGCCTGTTTATGGTAAGGGAGAGTGTGTGTGGAGGTGTGCGTGAAATGGGGACAGTGTGAGTGTGTGTGTGTGTGTGTCCGGCCAAAAGTGCTGAGTGTGTGGAAGACCAACGGATGAGTGAGTGAGTACCTGACGGTTTTTAAATATTTAATGGTGCTACAAAAGGTACTCCAAATTAATAATCGTTATAATTGGCTAAAGGAACTCAGCCCGTTCTAAATTCAACCCGTTTGTGGTTTTGTGAGTTGTATATCTATGTGGGCCGCGTTCCATTTTGGTGATTCTGTGGTGTTGTTTATTGGTTATGATTGGATACTGGCTTATTTACGTGTGTGAAAAGGGCGTGTGTATATGGGACTTTGAGTATGGGTGTGAAGCAGGGACTCTTCTGTGTGTGTGTGAGAGAGTTTGAATTTGTTGTGCTTCCGTGAGCTGCGTCCCATTTTTGGTTGTGCAGCTTGTGATGCATCTCATTGTGTCTCTGTGTATGAAAACCTGCAGGTAGTGATGTCCTGTCCTGTTCTGAGGGTGTGTGAGACGTTTTGGACTGAGGTTCTGAAGAAAAAGAACAAACTAAGTGTGATTGCTAGCTGCAGTTCTAAAGCTTTAAGCCGGCTCTGTCTGTCTCTCTGTCTGTCTGTCTATCTGTCTGTTTGTGTGTGTGTGTGTGTGTGTGTGTGTGTGTGTGTGACAAAAGGGAAGTGTTGATTTCTTGCGGTGGGGGATGGTTTGGTAAGGCTGCAGGCCGCCAACAACTCAGATAAGGACGAGGAAAAAGAGAATTAAAGAAGGCAGGATGAGAGGAGGAGAGGAAGGGGACAGAAAGAAAAAGGAACAGATTAAAAGAGATGGGGAGAAAGGAGAAGAAAGGGATGGCAAGTAGGGAAAGAGATGATTAGTTTTGAATCTTTGTTTACATTTAACTTCTAAATTCTTAATGTTCAAAATACTTCTTATCCAGACAGGAAGAGTTCTCTTGATGACAAATCACCCGGGTGTGTAAAGTTGGGTTGTGCGGTACCTGTTTGTATTCAAAACTGCATAATTGAGCATTCCCAAAGCAATATTTGTCATCATATGAATCTCTCTGATGTCTGTCTTTATGAGACAACTTGTCTAACAAGAAATGAGCAAATCACAATTGATGTGACTCACATTAGATTGGGTTTGTTTTTCCCTGTAATCATCCAGGATTTTCCAAGCTTTCAGTATTTGATTTTAATGTTCATTCCTTAGATGTTGAGCTCAGATATGATGGGGTATTTCACGCAGTTGCCCCTCAAAGTAAACTAGATCCCTGTGAAAATAATTAAATACCCTTTTTTACAGATCATGCAGTAGTCCCCCAATGTTTTATTGATGGATTTGACCCCGAGTTACAGAATTAGAAGGGAAAATTATTGTAAATCATGATTTTGTGTTAATGAGGTACAAAACCTTATAAATAGCTTTTGCCATTTTACAATGACAGACTCTTTTCTTTTGCACCTTGTACAATTCCCGCACAGCTCTGGTTTTGCCAGACGGAAACAGATTAGCTGTGAAGCAGCTACTCTGGGTCCGAAGATACCTTTTACTAAGTTTAAAAATACAACCTTGACTCAAGATGGTCTCTATTTCACACGTGGTAGGCTGTTCCTTTCTGGAATACAAACTTTAGAAGGTTCTATATAGATAGTCTAAACAACCCCAAACTAAATATTTCGACCTGGTTTATTGTTTCCATTTAGACTAATTAAAGGCACAGTCTGCAACATTTAAATGTAGAATAACATTAAAAATGTTTGATTTTGACCATCTGACCCAATTTTATTTAAAAAAGTAAATAATCTTTAATATTTCAATTTTCTCCTAAGTCCCTGCCCTGTAGAGCTCAGCCAATATTTCTGCAAGCCTAACGCGTTGACCAATAGCGCTGCGTTACCACCAGGGGGCAGCTGTCAATCATCGAGCACGAGCAGGTCTCAGCGTGCACAACAGTGTCACGCGCCTCACTCGGCTTACTGCAGAAACATGGAGCAACAAAACCCCAAATTACCGATTCCTCGACTGCCTTCCACATCTCAAAAAACATTTAAAAAGTTTAAAAGCCCTTCTTCAAAAGTGGCTGTAAGACGTTTAAGACAGTCGAGTAGAATTTACATTGTTTAACACACGATGGAGAGATTTTCGTGATCTACACGGCCTGAAAACGGATGAAGAGTTGACAAAGTATCTTTTGGACAGGTAAGTTATTTATTGTTTTTCAGATAAATTTACTTATAACCTTTCTTTCACTGAAAGAAGTAATAGAGCAAACAAGCTTTGTATGCTTGGTGTCCTATTGGCTAATGTAGCATTAGCTTGAATGCTAAGTCGACATGAATCGATGCTAGTCGAACTATTTATGCTATATTTGGAAGAAGTTTGAGTAACGAAAGGGGATTTTAGTTTTTTTTTATATGGGAGCTAATGATTAGTGTGGTGTTTAACTATAGGCCACATCAGTATATTGTTTTAAGCTCTTGTTTATAACTTCCCTGTTAGCGGGGTTCAGTTAGCATCTTGAAAGCTGAATTAGGTGTTTACACTTTCCTGAGCTGCGTGTCTGATTAAAATGAGTAATCAGCAGCTCATGTAGCACTTGTAGAAGTCTGAGGAGATGATTCAGCAGTTAGAATTAGGTGTGATTGATCAGGAACGTATCCAAAACCTTACGTTTCCATTAGCACTGAAAGACTTATTGTGCTAACCTGGGTGGGCCACGTGTACAGATTACCGTCTGAGTTTGTGGTCTTACCTACGTGAATACTCCATATTAAAATAAAAGGAATGATAATCAGCTCGTGCAAAAATCTGTGAAGGCTGGGGAGACTTGCTTAGCTTGTGATCACTAATTTTTGGGCTTTGTTTTTTACAGTCATCAGTCCAAATATGAAGCATCAACATCTACACCATTGAAACGCCAACTGTTTATTTCTCCAACACCAGTGCCAGCTCTGTCTAGCATTCATGGAGGGTCATCTGAAAGGTAAATAGCTGCGTAAAAACCTCTACCAGGAATATTATAATTTTGCCTCTGTTTGTTTTAAGTTAGTGGTGGATTATTTTTGAAAAAATTCTAGAAATGGGATAATGAATGACTATAAAAAATGTATAGAAATAAATAGTAAAACTACATTTTATATAGTGCCTCTCAAGATAAAACTCTTGAGGCACTTCACAACAACAAAATTAAACATATTTTAAAATTTTTTATTTTTATTTCAAAGTTTATGAGAAAAAATAACACAATTGTGTTTTTAAAATGTAAAGAGAGAGACAGGAAATTATTTGTAAAGAAGGAATTCAGTGGATACAGAGAAATGCGTAATAAGTAGAGGGAGAAAAATAAGGAGAGGGTGATGATGACGGCCAATAGACGAGGTCTATTACCTTCAAAATTACAAAATATGTATTGATTCTAATCATATTGTTGTGCTTGTATTGTATTTTCATAGCTATGTTAATTTGGAGGAGGTGATGGAACAAGGTGAAACTAAAAAAGAAGGATCTTCACAAATGTAAGTACAAGGTTGTATCTGTATTTGGCTGTCACATTTGTCAGGAAAAGTAAACAATAATTACTTTTTTAGGTTATCTTGTGTGGGAATTGAAGCAAACATTGACGAGGAAGAGTTCAACAATATTCAAAACTCTGTGTAAGTATTCAGATGTTAATAAAATGTGTCTAATTTTCCATACTAAAAACTTTATATTGTGTATATTCAGGATAGAGTCATCAGATGACACATGGTCACCAAACAGAGAACCAGAAGTTGATTCGTCTTCAGAGGATGATGAAACCATCGAGATGGACAGCGGTACTGATGACGGTGGTGATGAGGACTACACACCTTATATACACATAAGGTAATTCTTTTCGTTTAACATTCTATAAAACTGCAATAGCGCATAGTTAATAAAAAGCTTTTGTTTACAGGACTGGAGCAGCATTACAAAAAACATTACAACTTGAGACTCTGCAAGAAATTAACATAGAGGACACAGTTCATGACTGTAATATCCCAGAAGCAACTGACCGACGTTTGACAAGCAAGAAAGGTCTTCCTCGACGCTACAAGCTAAGGCCTGAGGATCCAAGGCGTTATGGTTTGCTGTCCGGAGTTCCTGCACCATCAACAGAGGAACTTCTACAACACCTACGGACTTGCGGTGATGGTAAAATAAAACATTATCTGCCTTACATCTTCCACACAATAGTCCATTGCTAATTGAGTTTATTTTTTATTTACAGGTAAAACTTTGCCACAGACATAGGTGTTGGGGGAGGCAAGAGAAAACCCAAAACCTTCTTTATTTTTGTTTCCTGTGTTTTTTTTTTAAATAAAGATATATTTTGGGGAAATAAGGACTAATAATTTAAAAATTTATGTAAAATGTTGGAGGTAGACATAATTTTTTGTTGTTGTGCAGGAGTTTTAAAATTTATGGTATTTTTACAAATGCAACACAGAGTTGTGCTTTAGAACACTTTATTAGAGCATCAAACAAAAATATATAAAAACAAACTTATGTAAAATATCAAATATATACATTTATTTACAATCGTCTTGGAATAAAACTAGTGTAGTTACCATTGGGGTCAGGGAATTTTGCAGAATAAACTCCTCCATGTGTGGTACAGTTGAAATACATGTCTGGGGAGGCTGTTGGCAGCATTTCTTTTCCAAATCAGTTGGCATATCTCTGCAGTGGGAGCATACACACCATGAAGGTTGATTGGGTGTTGGAGGTGTTGTGGCAGGTGGACCAGAGAGGGCAAGTACATCAAAGAGAACACCAATGTCTGTCCAGCACCATAGTAAGGATGTCAATAGCCTGCTGAGGGTTCAGGTTCTGTATGTGTTGCTACAAAAGTGGAAAGAGATGCTACAGCAACAGTATTTAGGATCATTTAGTGTAATTTTGTTATGCTTACACGTTCAAAGTCTATTCGCTCGGAACAAAGATTCCGAACTCGAAAGAGATCTTCATCTCCAAGGTCCACAGCTGAGTGTCTCACACTTCTTCGGCCTCTGGATGCACCGCGGCCTCTAGACACACCACGGCCTCTGGATGCACCACGGCTTTGAGATGATGGTGGGCATCTCCTTTTTGCACCACGTCTTGAGGATGCAATAGGAGGTTCAAACTCTTCCTCAGAGGATTCCTCAATCACTGAACTCTAAATTGTATTAGAATAAAAAAAATTATACTAATATAAAAAGTACTCTTGCATATTAATCAATTTTGACACAGATCAGGTTTACATCTAGTCAAAATTTGGGCTAAACCAACAATAAACAGAAACCCTATGAAAACAACCATGATTATAGGAGGACCACACAGAATGCAGTGTTTATTCATGATTTCCACATAAATTATTTATATGCTTTGATATATTCATCCCATCTTGAATGGCAAAGCAATTAAAAATAAGCTAATTACTCGTAATAAAATGCTAACAATTTGATAGGATTAATTTTATTTACAATATAGATTGCCAACTGTTACTGGTATTTTAAAATATAAATATATTTATAGATATTCTTTATAAAATGCCTTTAGTAAACAGTAAGTGTTTAATGTGCTGGTTAAATACAACTTTCTTACCTCAGATAACTCCATTGCTAACACTAGCTCAGCTCTATTACAAGAAGCAATGCTCCGATGTTGACTCGGCTTTTCCTGCGCGTGCACATTGGGAGGTGTGGCTTTCGGCTCTTTCAGGAAGGGCGGGGGAGTGAGCAACAGCCGTTCGAATTTAAAAATCTCCTCCTCCTCACCCTGACGGTGTCACCCTGACGGACTGTGCCTTTAAGTAGAAGTGGTTTAATTTTAACATTTGTAAGAATGGGCAGTCTGATAGATGTAAGCTAGTGTCACCATATTCTGTATTATTGTTTCAGTTATGCAGTTTTAATTTAGTGGGTTATTCTCTTAGGTGATAGAATTCTGCACAATGCAGTACATGAATGCTTTACAGTTTTCATATCTCTGGGTTTTAGATCTTTTATAAACCTTAAAAACTTCCCGTTAAATGAGTCTTGTCGACCATTGATTGATTAAATTACTGATGTTCCTGGGTTAATTTAATACAACATGGAACATGAAATGGTGATTGAATTAACACAGTGCTAGGTTTTTATTTTGTCTGTATGCTAGCTATCAGGTGGCTTGTGATAGAATTCTTTCACAAAGACATGTCAAAAAGCACAGCCCATGCAGATCCTGTTTGAAATGCAAATATCAACTCAGCCCCTGCAGACCATAATGCTAATCAAGCCCCAGGAGCTTTATTCAACTGTTCATTGTTTTCCTTTAACTTTCTCAGATTGACTAGCGTTTTATCCTCTTGATCTTTCCTTTAATTAACATTTAAGCTAATATTCCCTGGGTTATTATTATCATTAGTTTTCTGTTTGGGTTATAAGGTTTAACTTGAAAAATTGGTTACATTTCAAATCTGTGTGACTTCCCTTTGTTTAAACTTAGTTCTTGTAACTGTGTGTGGAGCTACCTCCACAGGGGGTGGTGGTGTGACTGATACAGTGGTGTTTTAACCCTTTGATTACCCTTCTATTGTGTTGTAACACTCTCCTGTGAAGAAGTGGAGACGGGCTGGTTCTGGAAAGTTGTCTCCAAAGCAAATGATTCAAAGATAAAAATTGGTCATCAAACAGAATTTTTCACCGTTATTTACATCTAAATTAGAATGCCTCCTGCCTGAATGCAAATGTTTCCTAAGCAGCTAAATCAAGGCTAGACTGGAAGACTCTGTGGTCCTGCTGTGAAAATCTCTTTGAAGGATTCCTTTTGTCTTCCATAATATGTGGGTGTGTTACCTCTACTTTGGTGTGATAAAATGATGAGACAAGCTAGTTTTAAATAATTTGTATGTGTTTTTTTTTGTAATGAATTATGGCAAAACCTTACTGATTTCTTTTTATGCAAACCAGATATCAAGTTTACTTAAGATAAATTAACATAGCAAATGGTGTTCAAATGGGGGAAATTTTGAGAGCAAATGTTCCACTCTGTTCAACCTTTGTGTTTAGGAACAGCAACAGTTGGTAAACATAGCAATTCATGGGGTGTTAATAAACAAATTGGGCATCTTTCAGGCTCTAATGGTTGTTGTGTATCCATGGTGAATTTATCTGCTGCTTCGCAAAGAACTGACAGGACTTGATTGACAGGTGATAGAGACCAGTGGCTGGCCTGCAGTGGTTTCTGCGGAGAACATCAAAGGACACGGACCGGACACAAGAAACTTTGTGCCCCATTGACATCACCCTCAACAACCAGGAAGGTATTTGATTCCAACACAAGATGGTTGCTATGTCATGCCCTGCTACTCTCCAAATGCAGGAATGGCTCAGACTCAGGAGGAAAGTGTCGATGAAAAGGCTCTGAGCTCCTTTGTGCAGGCAGCTGTGGAAGTTGAACGCCTACCTGAATGCAAATTGGTCTGTGTCTGTGGCATCTGCTGTGGATCTTTGAAGCTTTTGTGACTTGTAGGTGTGTTCAGAAGGAGGTGGAGACCTGCAATCCAAGATGGAGGAGGCACAAAAAACATGGCAGAGCTGATGTTAAACCACGAACCTATGTGGATCAGTTGGCTCAAAACCGATACCACCGTCACCAGGTGGCATCTCCATCATGCAATGACAAGTTCCTCCGGCCAGCGGGACAATGTAAGAGCTGAACACAAGCTGTGACCAAGACTGGACTGGAGATGAGGTGCGGCGGTCAGACACCGAGGTCAGCTCATGTAACATCATCTGTGTCTAAACAAGCTCATGAAGGAAGATCACCCAATTACCATAACCAGCAGGGGAAGTCTGAGTTCCTCTGTGCATGCAGCTGTGAAAGTTCGCAAGGAGGTGAAGTCACTGAACTACAGTCCAAGATGGGCCAGAAAGACATGGCTGAACTGTGGACTTGCAGTCCAAGACGAAGAAGGCCAAAAAGACATGAGCTGATGTAACACCACAAACCTGCTGTGGGTCAGTCAGCTCGCTCAGGAAGTGACACAAAATGGTACCAACCTCCATCCTGCGTCGACACGCCAGCAGGACGACGCAGAGCTGAGAGCACAGTCTGTGACTGAGATATCACACCTGAACTGGAGATGAGGTGCGGGGCTCAAACAGTTCGGAGGAAACCAGTACCACCGGTCAGCCAGCCACTGAAAATACAGACCCTTTGAAACCTGTTCAGTCCTACAAGCCATGGGTTGCAGCACAGGAGGAGACGACAGATGTGGAAAAGGTTCAGAGCTCCGTAAATCATTTTCTGCGTTTTATGATATGAATGGTCATCAATTTTGTCACGTTTAGGAGGGCAGGACCCAAATTGCAGAAACCCAGGATGACACGAGGCAGGAGATGATGTAAAGTAAAATCCTTTATTTTAAGGTGAACCAAAAACTAAGTAAATCCAAAGGGGTGGGGAGCCAAAATCCAAAAGCTCACTTCATGAGCAGAGAACCAGAGACCAGGAGAGAGAGACAAAAACAACGCTGACAAAACAACAATGGACCGACAAGAACAATGAGACAAGGAGGGCTTATATAGACAGGGAGGAGCAATTAGGGAAACAGGAAGCAGGTGTGTGGAGTGAGGCTGGAGGGAAGGCAGGTGACAGCAATTATCTGGATGGGGAAGAGAACCAGAGGAGGGCAGATAAACCTAACACTATATAACACACAAAACTAAACCTAAAGACTAAGGGAAGAACTCACACAAACACATACACATACTGACACACACAAACTATGAAATGGGGAACAAGAGGCTGTGGCTATAACTTAAGACACACAACAGAGACGCAGACAAAGGGCACATGAGCGCGCTACGAGAACACAAAAGGGAATCCAGAGAGGGATGGAGGGGCTGGGGAACAAAGGGACACAGAACATGACAAATTTTATCTGTTTTTTGATGTCTACTGGTGTGAATTGATTTAATAAAACTCAGAGTATTATATTCAATTCAATTCAAGTTTATTTATAAAGTGCCAAATCACGACAAGAGTCGTCTCAAGGCACTTCACATAATAAACATTCCAATTCAGGACAGTTCATTAAGCCAATCAGAAATAATGTGTCCTATATAAGGAACCCAGCAGATTGCATCAAGTCACTGACGAGTTTCAGTGACTATACAGCAATCCTCATACTAAGCAAGCATAAAGCGACAGTGGAGAGGAAAACTCCCTTTTAACAGGAAGAAACCTCCAGAGAATCCCGGCTCAGTATAAGCAGCCATCCTCCACGACTCACTGGGGATCGAGATAGGTGTTGATATCTGGTTTTTGTTGACATCAGCATGTATTTTATTTTTATTGTTATTGCTCAAAGGTAACATTCAAGGGGGATAAATTAATAAAGCTAGGAACACAGAATAAATGGGTTTTGATGTCTGGTTTGATGTTAAGTGTTAATTGAGCATTCCAAATTCCAAGTTGGTAAGGATATGTCATATTTATTACTCTGGTTTTTGTTGACATGACAATGTATTTTAATTCCTCGCACTGACAGAGTGTGTCAATCATCCCTCTTGCTTATTAATCGATTATTGGGTTAATGACATCTTACTTTGGTTTTGTTATGACAACCAAATGAACATCAGGAGGGATTTGTTAGGTATTTTTATAAAATGTTCATGTTGGTTGGTCTGAGAATCTTTCTTTGTGTGGGGTGACGAGCTCATGTGAACTTTGTAATGCCTTAGGCCATGAATCTCTGGAATGTGGTAACCCAGGAGATGGGTCTCTGTACCTCTGTAGCCTGAGAAGGCCCGCCTTCTCTGTCCTTTGCTGAATAAAGTCGCTGGAAACTCTGAAGACAGGGGGAGTCGCCTGGCATCTAGCTCTGGAGAGGGTTATGTGTCATGGGTGCTCTCCCCGTGATTTGGCTAATTCAGTGTAAAATGTCTCCCTTTCGTGATGTGTGTTTATTTCAGGTTCAAGGGTCATGGATACGTAAAATTAATTATCCAACAAGCGGATTGTCTAGTAATCGGAAGGTTGCAGGTTCGATCCCAGCTCCAGACAGAGAATTCTGCTGTTGTGTCCTTGGGCAAGACACTTAACCCACCTTGCCTGCTGGTGGTGGTTGGAGGGACCGGTGGCGCCTGTGCTCGGCAGCCTGGCCTCTGTCAGTGCGCCCCAGGGCAGCTGTGGCTAC